GTACTGTATGTAAGAGTATTACAGTATACAATACATTACTGCTACATTCTTATGTCGATTACTAAGTTAACATATAGGGACAGTATGCTGGTTTAGAATAACATGCCTCAAATATCAAGACACAGTAATGATTTAAGAGTAAAGATAACACTTAAAAATGTGTCTAGTTTATGGCTAAGCAATGAATAGCCTGTTTGCATTGTACACTAGCAGATAATTATTATACTTAGGTTAGATTTAATGCATTCAAAAATTTCCTTTTTTCAAGCATTAAATCTAACCTTCGTATAATAATTTTCCTATAGTATACTATGTGGAGCTCTACTAATTGCTTATTATTATACACTGTCTTCTGGAAGTCAGTGCTAATTAGTATTACAATGCACAGTAAAATAGAATTAGATGTGTTTAAGAAAGCTCATTTAAATAGATCTCCTGGAAATGGCTTCTTCCAACCTGGGACCCCTGCATATGCAAATTATATGTCAATCTGAATAGCAGTTATGAAAATAATCATCAACGTTATATATATATATTTTTTTCACATTTCGAGGCCATTTGCCACACATAATACAGGTTAATTTTTTTTAAATCAGCTAACCAGTTAAAACTCACAAATCCTGAGAACTATTTAATAATTTTCCAACCTACTTTAGTTGCCCTGTAACCATGATTCCAACTCTGGAACACACGGCATCGGCTTCCTCCATGGAGTGAGTTGTTAACACACCGCCGCGAGTATCTTTGAAACACGCAATGATAGTATTCCTACGAAAATGAACGAAAGATTCATGTCAAAATCAAAAGAAAGTAGCAGTATCGGTGTAGAGTTATGTCCAAAATCTTACATTGGCAACCAGTGTATAGTATAAAAATGCATCTTAAAATCGTAATGGTACCGTTACGATTTTAATCGTGCGAGAAATATACTCAAAATTAAGTGAGGCGATAAAGAAAAACATTAGCAGTAATTCAGAGATAACATTTCTATTGAATTCATTTTTTAACTTTCTACTTCAATTTTAATAAAGAGCCCCTCCAATTTGTGTATACCAGTGGTCAGCATAAAAATCAGTCGGAGGGCCAAAGTGAATTTTGGACTTAACACAGAGGGCCGTACCCAAACTTTGATGTTTCCATTGCGCTTCCAAAAACCTGAAAGCACTGCATTTACACCACTTTATTCTCAGTTTAATGTTACATTTTACATATAATTAGGTTCGGGCTGTAAAAAATAAGATGTTTTCTAGCCAATATTGCTTGGCGGGCCGCACACATAGGGTTTTTATTTTCGCGGGCCAAAAAAAAATCACTGTCGGGCCACACTTTGCCCACCTGTGGTGTATACTATTGCATGTATTTTGTTTTAGGTACTCTGTTTTAAATGCATTTCTACACCAATCACTAAAGTTTTTCCAAAAAATCATCAACTTGCAGTTGCTATTTTTCTTGGTATGTAATAAACATAAATTGTTGTTCATACCATAAGAATCTTTTGGAAGCAGGATCCATACCAGTAGAGGGTTCATCCATTAGAATAATCTCTGGATTGCCCAGCATACTCAGTGCAAAACAAAGCTAGAAAAACATGTAAATATTTGACATTAGAATATACACAATTTTATACCAAAATATGACAAGAGACATTAACCAACAATTTGTCAAAATATAACTTTCAATTAGTTGTAATAAAATAACTGCAGTTTGTTGAACTTCAAATAACTTATATATAAACCTACTGTATGTGGAGTTGGTGTTAAGTGCAGTTGAATAGCTCGGTAGCTAAGATGATCACATTCAAGTCCCAGGGTCCTGGGTTCAAATCATGTAAGATTCCAGGATTTTTACTCACAGCAAAACAACTCCACTCCATAAGCCTAGTTATGAGACTAAGTTTATGTAGAGCGCAATCATGTGTATATGTGTGTAATGTAAAGGGTTTGCCACCTATCTAATGGACAGTAATTATGTTGTTATTGGTAATCCTTCGGACATATGACTATATATACATAGTGCCAAAAAATGGTGGATGGTAAAATACATTCCTCGGTCTTCATTGTACATATGCTAATATACTGCAATCTGTATTAAAAATATGTTGTCTTTTACATTATCTTTGTTTTCCTCACCTTTCTTTTTGTACCTCCAGAAATTTCTTTAATCTTCTTGTCGGCGTGTTCACTAATCTTCAGGCCCTCCATGTAGCTGAAACAAATGAGGTACAGTATTATCATTAAGTGCGAATTTAAAAAAAGATGGACTCCATCCCCTAGTAGGCAAACAGGCCTATAATGAGTCTTCTCGGAAGCTTACTGAGATGCGAAGTCAGGCCCAAAAAATAAAACTTCAATTTACTGTACCTACACATTCCAACAAAAAACTTTCCTGCCGAATAATGGCTATTGTTTTGACAATGATTATTTTTTTTTTTGCTTGTGTCTGTGAGCAAGGCACTTTGTCTGCCTTGCTTCTCTTCACCCCAGGAGTATAAATGGGTACTTGGTGGGGTTAAGTAACACTTAAGCAAGTGGACCCAATGACCTGGGAAAGAAGTGCTTTAGTATCTGCAAAGAAAGGTGCTAAATAAAAAAAAAAAAATAAATAAATAAATAAATCCTGATCTTTTTCAAAATTTTACTGTAGATTTAGTTAACTTACTGGTTTCCAATTTTAGCAGCATCTTCCTTTGAGAGTCCTTTGATGGCGCCATAGGCCTGCAAATGTTCTCGAACCGTCAAGTCAGGCCACAGAGGATCAACCTGAGGGCAGTAGCCCATGGTCTGGTAAGCCTCACTCAGAGACGAAGCAATGTCATTCACACCAACTCTCACCTGCGAACAATACAGATTAACAGTTTACGTCATGTGTTATAAATACAGGTCTCCATCTAATTAAAGACCCCCTCCAATTAAAGACAACGTCCACCTTTTATTTGACAAAAAAACTGTTGTATGCCCATATATAGTCATGATGTGCCTAAATATGGTCATGATGCCCTCATGAACATATTTAGGCATATCACATGTTTTTATCAAATAATTCTTTTTTTTAGCCTGGAAAAATGCTTTAGAATGTGAAAATTACCTGTCCTTTGGTTGGTTCAATATCTGCAGTGACTACATTCATTGTACTGGTCTTTCCTGCACCGTTTGGACCAAGAAGGCCAAGGACTTCACCAGGAATTACAGCTAGCGAGACATTTCTCACAGCTACCTTCACCTTACCTTCAGCCTTGGTCTTCTTGTCTTTCCTCAAGTTGAACTCTCGTCGTAGATCACTGACCACCAAGGCAGACGGCTTTAAGTAATAAGATAATTTTTTTAAGTACCTGCTTAAGCTCCACACAATCAAATTTATATTTAAATCAAGCAGTGGAGTATCTAGGAGACTTGAAGTAGGGGATGGGGGCTGAAGGGGCACAAAGGTTAAGTTAGGGGGCTTGATGATTGAGAGGGTGCTGGCTCACAAAATAAAGTGATATACGATTTTTATCTACTTGAACATGTTTTTTTAGCTTCAAACATTTTCAATGGGGGACCGGGGGCTTGAACTGTTCTGGGGGAGGGGGGCATGCACCCATGCCCTTCCCTAGATACATCACTGAAATCATGTGTTCTGTTAATATATAGTTGTAATAAGAAATCATCATGCCCATATATGGACAAATCACTGATTTGTCACATAGAATTTTATATGGACAGAAGAGATTTGTGAATTATTATTTTGACTAAAGCTTAACTTTTAACACAAAACTAGAATCAGTTTGGAAGGCCGAGGGGCAGTGCGCTTATATCATTCAGACACCTCTATATCTGAATGATTTCAATAAAAGTGAAATAAGGTGTTTAAATTTGTATGTTGCTATTTCCAAGTAGTTAATAATAAATTAAAATTACCTTGTTGTTCATGAGAATATCTTTTACCCGTTTCCTCTCTTCAACAATATCCTCATCTTCATCTTCTATCACATCATCATTGATCTTGCTGTACTTAATATCAGTTGACCTGTGAAGTGAAAGCAAACACCAATCAAGCATTATTGTAGTCATACCTGTCTCTTATACACATCTAGATGTGTATAAGAGACAGATTTTATACCAAAATATGACAAGAGACATTAACCAACAATTTGTCAAAATATAACTTTCAATTAGTTGTAATAAATGCTAAAGCCCTGTCCAGTCTATCAAATTTCATTTGACAAAAACATATGGCATCCCTAAGTATGGTCAATGGCATCACATCATGACCATATATCTGTCTCTTATACACATCTAGATGTGTATAAGAGACAGCATCATCATTGATCTTGCTGTACTTAATATCAGTTGACCTGTGAAGTGAAAGCAAACACCAATCAAGCATTATTGTAGTCATACTCAATATTATTTTCATGATTTAAATGAATATTTACATCACAGATAGGATAAAATTAAACTTACCCACAATAAAAGGCATCCTTCCAGTCTCCTCCGGTTTTCATTATCTCACACCAACGGAGGAAAAAGTACATATAGACCAAGTCCACCAAGAGCTGTGGCCAGAAAAAGGACGAAATATTGTGTCAGTTCATATACATTTTGAAGATGTACTGTTAAAAAACTGATGTTACCAGGAATTCTGGATTAATAAATGGTCTTCTAAAACACAAATTTATATATATTATATTATTAATTCACAACATTTTCGTAAGTGTACAAACAGTATGTTTGAAAGAGGAGGTTGATATTTTATAGCCATAAAGGGTTGTTTCCTTAAAATTGCTACACTGAGTGTTTCAGTGCAATCGTTGTACTGCGTAGCAGTTCCCGACGCAATCAGGAAGGCTTTCCGATACGACCGACCAATCAGGATCACCAAAAGCTGTCGGCGAAACCGTGTAGCTATTGGATAGAACCCAAGCTTTTTTACTAAAAAAAATACATGTTGTAGACTTTTTCAGATGGTAACACATTTGGCAAATCTGACAGGTAACTCTTTTGGCAAATCCGACAATAAAAGATCCTCTATGAATGGTACAATTGAAGAGGGAAAAAAATACACAGAAACTAAATAATATTTGCTTACAATTAATATAGTAGGGATAATGTATGCATCAAACTTGAAGTAATCCCCTGCTTTAATGTCATCTGCTCTTGAAAAAAGAAGTTCCCACTCGTAAATCTAAAGAAAAAATCAAAACATCTACTTTCAAACAATGTATTAAATAACCAGAATTACAATTTTTTGCTAAAGACCATTTTACTATGAAGTGCTTCATATAAGGGGACTTGAAAAACCTTGCTGGCGTTGTTGGAGTTGACAAAAGGAGCCAACAAGTGAATTCATATCCACACCTGTCAAAACATATTAATATTGTGGAGTGGTCGCCAGAACGTGAACTCTTTCCCTAGAGGTTCAGGGAAGTAGTAATGGTCTAACAATAAATACCATATGTTCATGTTTCAATACAGTTTATGGGAATCATTTTCATTATGGTGGCGCCCTTTATGCCCTGGCGCATGAAATGAAACTAGTGAAAAAAGGCTTGGCTGTCAACTAAGTTGAAAGCCTAATCTAGATCACATATGCAAATCAACATTTTAATTTAACTTTGAGGGTTTTCTAGACTTTACTTGAGAGTTTATCTTCTAAAATGTATCTACATGGTGAGTCCTACACTATAAAATTTGTGCTCTTCAAAGGAAACTAGCTTACCTTCACAATATAATAAATTCCGCCATAAATTGCGTAGGGCGGGAAAAGCAACGCAAACACCAAATGAATAGCAGCAGCTGCTCCTGTTGTACCCGTCAAATCTAGGACAATTACAGGAACTGCTATAACAGTTGGAACCTACAATATTAAAATAATGTAGTGGTATGATATAATAGTTCCAGTAAACGTCTCTCTCTCTCTCTCTCTCTCTCTCTCACCTAACATGTTTTTTTTTTTTGCTATAGCCACTCTCGAATAATCACAATAATCACTGTGGCGTATATTAGAGCAAATCTATTTTGAATATACTGTACATCACGACGCCTATCGAGGGTAGTGACCTACATGCTAACATGCTTAGTTGTTTTGTATCATGTTTTGTTATTTGTATCAACACTGGAGTATTATTAAATTACTGATTTCTCACAAATCATATAAAAACTGTAGCTCTGTCCAAAACCATCAAATTCTTTTTTGACAAAAACATGTGACGTGTTTTAAATATGATCATTATGGCATCACATCATGACCATATATAGGTACAATAAGACTATATATGGGCACATCATGCCTATATATAGGTATAGAACAGCTTTTTGTCAAAGCAAATTTGATAGTGGGCACAGAGTGTAAAGGTCAAAAGTCACAAACACACGTCCTGTAGAATACATGGCACCAAAACAGCATTTCTATTACTTGTGATAAATACTGCTCTTGTGAATCATCACACTAAATCACCTGCCTGGGAAAGCGCAAGCTTTTTTTTTTGTTGGGGGGGGGGGATATTTTTTGTGCCTATTATTGTATAATAATTATAAGTACATCATTATAATTATCATTATTAGTTTTCTGCATCATAATTATAATTATTACAATTACACAAAGACACATTCGACAACATAAAGTCTAAAAAATATTTTAAATGAAATTGGCTCCTTAATATTATAAAATTACTAGGGTTCTATTCATAGCTAACCCTGAAATGTTATTTCTATGTAAATTTTACGTTTAATATAACAAAACTATACTGAATATTGAATATTATTACGCAATCATATAAATAAAACATTTTTAGCTTAGACTTACTAATGAATAAAATGACGGCAAGACTGCTTGACACGATTCAAAACTGTCAAACATGAACGACACACAGTACGCAAATATTGTAGACACCGGTAAATATGTAATGAGCAACAACAGAAACGTAATCATAGCGCCTGCATTCATAAAGGCGTCGACTTGGAAAGCTAGAATTACGATGATACCAATAAGACAGGCAAGTGCGTAGAACGCAACATCAATTGCCAGCCATGTTACCCAGTACGTCTGCATTGTTACGCCAGACACTCGTAGCTGAGCTCTTGTCTTCAACTATCAATTTAAAATTAATAACCATTATGACTTCATAGTATTCAAATAATAAATGCAGATGATGATTTCATTTATGATATATACAGTACAAAATTATTATCATATGACAATAAAAATAACAATGAAAGGTTATAATAATACTTATAAAAATAATTATAACAGTAACAATAAAATGATGGTAACATATCATAATAAAAATAGCAAACAATATAATGAAAAAATGAAACAGTAACAAATAAGTATAGTAATTACAATAACTAGATAGTGCGTTTGCTTCGCACGCTTACCCTCTAGTGTGTTAAACATCAGAATTAGTTTTGATAAAATAAAACAATTATTCATGACCATTAAAAGAAGAAAACTGTTGATTCAATTAGGCTATGTCAAAAAAAAAAAAATTGTTAATCATTCAAGCATGAAGGATCTTCCAGCATAGTGTTTGATCAGGTGGAATTTATACACTCTAACAACTCCCTGTATGAACAAACAAATGAAAATAAAACAATTTCACGAAAATCACAGGCAGATATTTTCGTACTTTATGGTCGGGTGATTGCTTTTTGTAGGGAGGGGATGATCAACTAATTATTTTTTTGTATGGACTTATACCGAGTCAAACCTCAGGAAACTAAATGCGTGACTGCGTAAACAATGCCATGTACTTAAAAAAGCTTAAGATCCAGTAAATAAGGATCATTAGTTAAAATAATAGTAACATTGAAATAACAAACCTCACGATCTTTGACCTTATCGACTGCAAAATAAGGCGGAATCAAATTAAGGGAGATAGCAAAGAACAAAGCCAGTAAAACAGCGCCATTAAATGTATAATCACCCGAGCCAACTGACGGGAAATCTTGTGATGATACACTGATGTTACCGGGGTTGCTGTCCAACAGGCCGTAGAGAGAGTTCATAAGAATGTTTATGAGGATTGGTAAGGAATGAATGGCTGTATCGTTGTAGTGTGCTACAAATGAAAAATTATTCTGAAATGAAAAAAAAAAATCCAAAAAATTACATCAATGTAATATAATAACATGTATAGGGTGATAAAAAAAATGATAATGCTCTGTCCAGACTATCAATTTTTTTTTGACAAAAAACTCTTGTTATGCCCATATATAGTCATGATGTGCCTATATATGGTCATGATGTGCCTATATATAGTCATGATGTGCCTATATATGGTCATGGTGTGCCTATATATGGTCATGATGTGCCTATATATGGTCATGATGTTCCTATATATGGTCATGATGTGCCTATATGGCAATTAAGACTTTCTAAGAACATCATGACCGGTCCAAATAATAATAATAATAGTATATAATTATAATAGTATAATAGAATAATAGTAAACAATAAGTTACCAAAAAAAGCTAACAAGAATTTTCAAGCTCATGATGCAGTCGTGTGTGTCCTGGGGCGGATTGCTATAAAACGGTCTTAACTGGTAGTCTTAACTCCTCAAATGAAGCCAGAATTATCACTTAGATGGTCTTTCTAAAGCCATTCCTCTAAGACTATTGCTATAAAACAGTCTTCCCTAAGACTGCTTCAAGTATTGAACAAGCACTCCCTGGTAACGTAAGATTGAGGGCGACGTCATGCGTGCTCGATGCACGCAAATGTATCGAAATAACGTAAATAAACTTCGTAGACCTATTTTTATAGATGCTGAAAAGTGTGCGGAGCATGCGTCGTTCGATTCTCCGACTATAACGATCTAGGACCTTGGTCTTGCCATTCCACTGTTGAATTAATTAGCAGAACGCCATGATGAAAATGATTTAAGAACGTTTTAAGCCTCCTCCGAGTAGGCTTTAAAATTTAAGGCGGCTAACTGGTTAGACAGCGGTATAGCAATGGTCTATAATCATATACCAGTAGTTACATCACGATTACAGCCGAGTAACCGTTAAGACCGTCTAAAGACCGCTTATAGCAATCCGCCCCTGGGCATATATTAGTACATTCAGTGAAGAGACAAGTACATTCATCATCACAGTTGGGTGTGTTCTTGGCCTGTATTATTACATTGCATGCAGAAACAAATATGTTCATCAGTCATGTGTGTTCTTGCCTCATATTATTACATTCAGTGCGGAAACAAATACGTTCAAAATAACAATTCAACAACTTTAGGCTTAGTACACATAAAACACATTACCAAATTTTTGGCGTTAACAGCCTGGTGATGAGGGGCATCCGAAAGCAACGAGCTGAAGTTTTTCATTTCTCCATTCTTGATGTCCAACCGATCAAACTCCGACACCAGTGAACTGATATTTTGGCCTAAAAATGATTGTTGTATGTTTGAAGATACCCAAACAATTAGTAATATATAGTAATACAGTAATGTGTTATTGTGGCAGACACACATGTTAATGTGGTAGACCCACATGTTATTGTGGCACATACACATGTTATTGGGCAGACCCTCATGTTATTGTTGTAGACTGACATGTTATTGTGACAAACACACATTATTGTGGCAGACCCACGTTATAGTGGCAGACACACCTGTCATTGTGGCAGACTCACGTTATAGTGGCAGACACACCTGTCATTGTGGCAGACTCACGTTATAGTGGCAGACACACCTGTCATTGTGGCAGACTCACGTTATAGTGGCAGACACACCTGTCATTGTGGCAGACTCACGTTATAGTGGCAGACACACCTGTCATTGTGGCAGACTCACGTTATAGTGGCAGACACACCTGTCATTGTGGCAGACTCACGTTATAGTGGCAGACACACCTGTCATTGTGGCAGACTCACGTTATAGTGGCAGACACACCTGTCATTGTGGCAGACTCACGTTATAGTGGCAGACACACCTGTCATTGTGGCAGACTCACGTTATAGTGGCAGACACACCTGTCATTGTGGCAGACTCACGTTATAGTGGCAGACACACCTGTCATTGTGGCAGACTCACGTTATAGTGGCAGACACACCTGTCATTGTGGCAGACTCACGTTATAGTGGCAGACACACCTGTCATTGTGGCAGACTCACGTTATAGTGGCAGACACACCTGTCATTGTGGCAGACTCACGTTATAGTGGCAGACACACCTGTCATTGTGGCAGACTCACGTTATAGTGGCAGACACACCTGTCATTGTGGCAGACTCACGTTATAGTGGCAGACACACCTGTCATTGTGGCAGACTCACGTTATAGTGGCAGACACACCTGTCATTGTGGCAGACTCACGTTATAGTGGCAGACACACCTGTCATTGTGGCAGACTCACGTTATAGTGGCAGACACACCTGTCATTGTGGCAGACTCACGTTATAGTGGCAGACACACCTGTCATTGTGGCAGACTCACGTTATAGTGGCAGACACACCTGTCATTGTGGCAGACTCACGTTATAGTGGCAGACACACCTGTCATTGTGGCAGACTCACGTTATAGTGGCAGACACACCTGTCATTGTGGCAGACTCACGTTATAGTGGCAGACACACCTGTCATTGTGGCAGACTCACGTTATAGTGGCAGACACACCTGTCATTGTGGCAGACTCACGTTATAGTGGCAGACACACCTGTCATTGTGGCAGACTCACGTTATAGTGGCAGACACACCTGTCATTGTGGCAGACTCACGTTATAGTGGCAGACACACCTGTCATTGTGGCAGACTCACGTTATAGTGGCAGACACACCTGTCATTGTGGCAGACTCACGTTATAGTGGCAGACACACCTGTCATTGTGGCAGACTCACGTTATAGTGGCAGACACACCTGTCATTGTGGCAGACTCACGTTATAGTGGCAGACACACCTGTCATTGTGGCAGACTCACGTTATAGTGGCAGACACACCTGTCATTGTGGCAGACTCACGTTATAGTGGCAGACACACCTGTCATTGTGGCAGACTCACGTTATAGTGGCAGACACACCTGTCATTGTGGCAGACTCACGTTATAGTGGCAGACACACCTGTCATTGTGGCAGACTCACGTTATAGTGGCAGACACACCTGTCATTGTGGCAGACTCACGTTATAGTGGCAGACACACCTGTCATTGTGGCAGACTCACGTTATAGTGGCAGACACACCTGTCATTGTGGCAGACTCACGTTATAGTGGCAGACACACCTGTCATTGTGGCAGACTCACGTTATAGTGGCAGACACACCTGTCATTGTGGCAGACTCACGTTATAGTGGCAGACACACCTGTCATTGTGGCAGACTCACGTTATAGTGGCAGACACACCTGTCATTGTGGCAGACTCACGTTATAGTGGCAGACACACCTGTCATTGTGGCAGACTCACGTTATAGTGGCAGACACACCTGTCATTGTGGCAGACTCACGTTATAGTGGCAGACACACCTGTCATTGTGGCAGACTCACGTTATAGTGGCAGACACACCTGTCATTGTGGCAGACTCACGTTATAGTGGCAGACACACCTGTCATTGTGGCAGACTCACGTTATAGTGGCAGACACACCTGTCATTGTGGCAGACTCACGTTATAGTGGCAGACACACCTGTCATTGTGGCAGACTCACGTTATAGTGGCAGACACACCTGTCATTGTGGCAGACTCACGTTATAGTGGCAGACACACCTGTCATTGTGGCAGACTCACGTTATAGTGGCAGACACACCTGTCATTGTGGCAGACTCACGTTATAGTGGCAGACACACCTGTCATTGTGGCAGACTCACGTTATAGTGGCAGACACACCTGTCATTGTGGCAGACTCACGTTATAGTGGCAGACACACCTGTCATTGTGGCAGACTCACGTTATAGTGGCAGACACACCTGTCATTGTGGCAGACTCACGTTATAGTGGCAGACACACCTGTCATTGTGGCAGACTCACGTTATAGTGGCAGACACACCTGTCATTGTGGCAGACTCACGTTATAGTGGCAGACACACCTGTCATTGTGGCAGACTCACGTTATAGTGGCAGACACACCTGTCATTGTGGCAGACTCACGTTATAGTGGCAGACACACCTGTCATTGTGGCAGACTCACGTTATAGTGGCAGACACACCTGTCATTGTGGCAGACTCACGTTAGATGTGTATAAGAGACAGGCCTTATACTGAGTCAAACCTCAGAAAACTAAATGCGTGACTGCGTAAACAATGCCATGTACTTAAAAAAGCTTAAGATCCAGTAAATAAGGATCATTAGTTAAAATAATAGTAACATTGAAATAACAAACCTCACGATCTTTGACCTTATCGACTGCAAAATAAGGCGGAATCAAATTAAGGGAGACAGCAAAGAACAAAGCCAGTAAAACAGCGCCATTAAATGTATAATCACCCGAGCCAACTGACGGGAAATCTTGTGATGATACGCTGATGTTACCAGGGTTGCTGTCCAACAGGCCGTAGAGAGAGTTCATAAGAATGTTTATGAGGATTGGTAAGGAATGAATGGCTGTATCATTGTAGTGTGCTACAAATGAAAAATTATTCTGAAATGAAAAAAAAAATCCAAAAAATTACATCAATGTAATATAATAACATGTATAGGGTGATAAAAAAAAATGATAATGCTCTGTCCAGATTATCAATTTTTTTTGGACAAAAAACTCTTGTTATGCCCACATATAGTCATGATGTGCCTATATATGGTCATGATGTGCCTATATATAGTCATGATGTGCCTATATATGGTCATGATGTGCCTATATATGGCTATGATGTGCCTATATGTCAATTAAGACTTTCTAAGAAGATCATGACCGGTCCAAACTGAATAATAGTAAACAATAAGTTACCAAAAAAAGCTAACAAGAATTTTCAAGCTCATGATGCAGTCGTGTGTGTCCTGGGGCGGATTGCTATAAAACGGTCTTAACTGGTAGTCTTAACTCCTCAAATGAAGCCGGAATTATCACTTAGATGGTCTTACTAAAGTCATTCCTCTAAGACTATTGCTATAAAACAGTCTTCCCAAAGACTGCTTCAAGTATTGAAACGCAAACAAGCACTCCCTGGTAACGTAAGATTGAGGGCGACGTCATGTGTGCTCGACGCACGCAAATGTATCGAAATAATGTAAATAAACTTCGTAGACCTATTTTTATAGATGCTGAAAAGTGTGCGGACCATTCGTCGTTCGATTCTCCGACTTTGACGATCTAGGACCTTGGTCTTGCCATTGCACTGTTGAATTAATTAGCAGAACGCCATGATGAAAATGATTTAAGACCGTTTTAAGCCTCCTCCGAGTAGGCTTTAAAAGTTAAGACGGCTAACTGGTTAGACAGTGGTATAGCAATGGTCTATAATCATAGACCAGTAGTTACGTCACGATTATAGCCGGGTAACCATTAAGACCATCTAAAGACCGCTTATAGCAATCCGCCCCTGGGCATATGTTAGTACATTCAGTGAAGAGACAAGTACATTCATCATCACAGTTAGGTGTGTTCTTGGTCCGTATTAAGCAGCTTTCGAATTGGACGACGTGGCGTCCTACGACGGGCAGTGGAGCGTGAAACAGTACTGCGTATGTGAATACATGGGGAAGTCGTTCGTTGTGTGGATTTGACAACGGACTTTAAGGGATTTGGCGTTGTGTTGACTAGCGCAATGCGAGTTTTATAAATACGCGCTCACTGGGGGCGCCTGCATAACATCGTCCTGTAAATCGAAACAGCTTTGATGTTGTGACGGGAAGTGCATAGTACGACGTTCCAGGTTGACTGAATTCCCCGTCGCAGCTCCTTCCGTTGCCCATTTCGAAAGCTCGCTATTATTACATTGCATGCAGAAACAAATACTTTCATCATCACAGTCGTGTGTGTTCTTGGCCTGTATTATTACATTGCATGCAGAAACAAATATGTTCATCATAACAGTCATGTGTGTTCTTGCCTCATATTATTACATTCAGTGCGGAAACAAATACATTCAAAATAACAATTCAACAAATTTAGGCTTAGTACACATAAAACACATTACCAAATTTTTGGCGTTAACAGCCTGGTGGTGAGGGGCATCCGAAAGCAACGAGCTGAAGTTTTTCATTTCTCCATTCTTGATGTCCAACCGATCAAACTCCGACACCAGTGAACTGATATTTTGGCCTAAAAATGATTGTTGTATGTTTGAAGATACCCAAACAATTAGTAATATATAGTAATACAGTAATGTGTTATTGTGGCAGACACACATGTTAATGTGGTAGACCCACATGTTATTGTGGCACATACACATGTTATTGGGCAGACCCTCATGTTATTGTTGTAGACTGACATGTTATTGTGACAAACACACATTATTGTGGCAGACCCACGTTATAGTGGCAGACACACCTGTCATTGTGGCAGACTCACGTTATAGTGGCAGCCACACTTATTGTGATGAATATAGATTCATATAGGAGGCCCTCTGTTGGTTCATACATATATAACATACCTTGTAGTATAATGGTAGAGTCCCGAAAGTTTAGTGCGGTAAAGAACGAGTGTCGCGCGTTGGAAACTAGGGACGCCATACTGTACAAGTACATGTTGTTAATGGAGAGCGTCCATTTGAAGTTAGGAAGTCGAATTACACCGTTATACTATGCCTTAATTTAGCTGTTGTGGGACTGGTATGTACATGATTTGTTGTGGAATATATAGTTGTACTGTAGATATGAACAGTACAGTAATATTAGTGATTTGGAATGAGAAGCATTCCATCGTTGTTTTGTGCTAGACCACAGGCTGCAACATGAATAGGCAAGGAGTCAGTCTAACTAATGCATGTAGCCTTTAGGCCTACATATTATCTTTATATTTGTTGTTCCTGTTTATAATATTATTGCGGCTGTATACAGTCATAATTATAGAAGAACACCGTTTGATTATTGAGCTATAATCATAAGTCTAAGCAATTGTTAGATTTAGTAATGTAGTGACGGTTTGATAATAAGCAATAAGCCTATGTAATACATCGCATGTTAACATTTGATGATAGACCGTCGCCTGTGACTCGTCACGCTTGACTGCACAAATGAATATTTATGAAGTCATAGGATAGGCTGATACCATTGGTATTGTCGAGGTGCAGTGGGTTTCTTATTGCCAAAGTTAATTATTTAATCATTGTTTTTACTTATTTTACAGTAATTTTACGTCTTGATGATCTTGATGACAGTTAATAAATATATACCAAAAGGCAAAAGTGTTGTTGTCGAATATCATCGAGTCAGTAAAATACGCCCGACGTAACACTTATCATTGTGGCACACCCACGTTACAGTGGCAGCCACACTTGTTATTGTGGCAGACCCATGTTATAGTTTCAGAAACACTGGTTATTGTGGCACACCCACGTTACAGTGGCAGCCACACTTGTTATTGTGGCAGACCCATGTTATAGTTTCAGAAACACTGGTTATTGTGGCACACCCACGTTATAGTGGTAGACACACGTAATAATTTGGCAGGCCAACATTATAATGGCAGACACACTTGCTTATTGGTAGACCCATATGTGACAAAGACAAGCCAAACCAGTCACTCGTCGCAAAAATCAATTTTAAGGTATTAACATTAAAATGAGAGCTATAAAATGGTAAAAGAATCATTCAAATCTGATATTTTGTTATGAAGTTACGAGTTTAAACATACAGCTGTTTAAAGACTAACATTTGAGAAATCAGCCTTCAAAGTTATGATTTTGGGCATTTCTCAGGCAGAAACCATCACCAAATCATTAAAAATTGTTGTTTAAACATTGAAAATGGGAAAATAACAGATAGCATATGATGTAGATATATAAAGGTTAGTTTAGTGCAATAAAATAGATTTCAAAAATTCTGACATTCCAGCATGTTTTGGTCATTATCTCTGAAACAGGATTTGCGACACGTGATGGGTTTGGCTGGTCTTTGCCACATATGTTATTGTAGCAGACCCACATATTATTGTGGCAGACCACCTTTTATTATTGTGGCAGACCCACATATTATTGTGGCAGACCCACATATTATTGTGGCAGACCCACATGTTATTGTGGTGACCTGCATTTTATTGTGGCAAACACACCATGTTATTTTGGTAAAAACACATGTTACTGTGGTGGACCCACAAGTTATTATGGCAGACCCACATGTTATTGTGGCAGACACACATGTTATTGTGGCAGACACATTTGTTATTGTTATTGTCAACTTTAAACTGTGACTGTCAAATTAAACTGTGATTGTTACTTTAAACTTTGACTGTTGATTTTAAACTGTGTTAGTCATTTTAAACTGTTACTACATTAAACAAGTGTGACTGTTGATTTCAAACTGTGATTTTCACTTTAAAACTGTGACTGTTACATACAACTTTCCATTGTCACTTCATCCTACTTTCAAACAACTTACCTGTTGGGAGGGAATTTTGGTAGAGTAGCTCGGTCTTGGTCTCGGGATAGCCTGAGAGGTTTTGTAAGTACAAATCTCTGGAGAGGTGGATTTTTTGAGGATTCAGACTATCGTTGTTACTCGTAGGAATCACCAGCACCATGACAACGCCAATTACCATGTAAATGTTTGGCATAATGAATCGCACAACGTAAGTCTAAAAACAAAAAATTAAATTGAGATATAACAATTTTGACTAAATTTACACTTTAGAGAATAGCAAACTTGAATAAGCCTTGGCCTCGCCTTATAAGGTAAGATAACTTCATTGTCAAAATCAAATCGCACTGAAAAATCCATAAACTTACAGAAGGGTTTCTTATAACCAATAGACCGAAGATCCTAAAAAGGCTCTTAAACTGGGCCTTGAAGCTAGGCTTGATGGGATCAGTTGCCAATGCAGAAGAATCTAGAACCACCTCTGGTACTTCAATGACTGTATCTCTTTCGTCCATGTTGAAGTCAATATTGACAAAGCCTGAGAATGGACAATAATGACAGATATATTATGTATATATTAACAATATAAATAAACACAATATACATATTATATAATATTAATATAAATATAGCATAATAATAATATACTAGAATTACTCCTTTTACACTACGCAGTAAAAGCATAGGGGCCCTACTCGGAAGGGCCCTACTTGGTGGGGACACAAGTATTTTTGGGGTGTCGTCTACACAAAAACTGTACTTTACTAAGAGTGAAGTCTACTCAACGAGTGTCATCAATGGAGATGTGGACATATAGGTAGTTACTCTAATCACTGAGATCCAGCATGGTGGCCTGTGAGCACATACCGGCTGATCATGATAGACAGTGATTGATTTCACAAAAGTTTCCATGCTGGTGCGTCTGCGATTAAACTTTCTTTGTAGCTATCTATCCATTGCACGACGTGACTTACACACGATATCAATCGATCAATCAACCCATTAATCAACCTTTCTTTCAGAATTGAGTATTCACATAACAATTATCTAAAAAAACAATTATTTATTTATTTATTTTTTTTTGTGATAAAAGGGGGTGGAAGAGGAATTCTCCTTTGGCTACCTGGCTACCTACACTACTTAACAACCCTGTAGCTAGGTCTTGGCTCTAGCCCTGCAGTTTGGCTAGGCCTTGCCTAAGCAAGATGGGCCTAGGCCCCAGACAACTAAAAGGTAAGGGCCTGCATGAGGAATATTTCCTCTGCCCAGAATTTAGTCCTAGAAATCACTTAAGTTCAGCGCAACTCGTGCAAAATTTAAAGTATTTTAAAAATTAGATTTTGTTTATTCATAGAAACTTAGGCCTAGTTCAGACTAGGTGGATAAACCCAGCTCAACTCACCTGATTTATCCACCTGCCAGTCTGAGCTAGGTGGCTTATCTCAAGCCGGGCTGTGTCCCTACAGTAACTAGGCCTGGCGCACCACTGTGTTTAACTTTTTTAAGCCAGGATTTAATCGTTGCGGAGGGGGGGGGGGTCTTGCATTGACTTTGGGTGACAAAATGACCAATCAGCATTCAATTACGTATGCTGTGAGTGAGCGTACGTTTCACGAGCAATGTTTTGAAACACGTTTCCTGGTTACGGTTCATTATTATGCAAATTCTCGCCTGGCTAAACCCGCTAGTCTGAACGTCCAGCAAAGATAAGCCGGGCTTAACGTTGAGCCAGGTTTAACTCAAGCCTGGCTTATCTCCAAGTCTGAACGTAGCCTTATAGTATAATATATAATAAGATTTATTTAATATTAGATTTTGTTTTATTACGCTAAAGTAAAGGAATGAAATACGTAGGTACGAGTTATCATGGTAACAACTATTAGCCTAACAACGACAACATGAAGAAGAACATGAGAAAAATCAATAGACTCTCGGGAGCTTCGCTCCTTCGGGGAGGCTAATAAGGACAGGAAGATGATGTAGTTGATGATCATGTTGATGCTGATGATGAAGTGATAAGATAATGATGAAGAATGATGTAACAAACGCTATAAAGATCAATCACTTTTACCACTGTTATCATTAGTGCTCCCTTCAGTTCCCAATCCGTCTTGCTCTCGTTCTTTTTCCAAGTCTGCTTCTTCACCAATCTTCAGGAAAACTTCCTCCAAGGTCGTCATTGAAACGCCATAACTTTGGATTCCCATCGACTTTGATGCTTCAACGCCATTTGCATTTTCAGCTTCAAGTTCCCTGAAGAGATCTGAAGGAGTAATGTCAAAAAAATATAAATTGTTGCATATTGTAGCAAATGACATAGTAGCATAGAAATTTTATTATTATATTTAATAATATGATTGCCTAAATCATTTTTAAATCATTTTTAATACTGAAAATCATTAGGCTCATAAGCAATTTGGCCTTCGGACCACAATTAGCACCAATGTTAATGTTTTAAATGTTTTTTTGACAAGTGAATAAATGAATGAAAATGAACTATTATTTTGTTATAAAATACAGAAACTGTCCTTGATTTTATTATCACATTTTTTTAAAAAACTCTTCCTGCCAAGATAACCAATATAATATTGTCTCTGAATTTTTTTATGTAGATGTATTAATAGTAGAATTTTGTTCTTATAATTAACTTTTAATAATGAAATTTCTTGGTGTTACTCGTAGACATAAGACCGCACAAGTGTTTTGCACCTGTCTGGTCTTTTCTAGCCTGTTTTTATTATATTGTTCTGTACAGGGTCACATCCAGATAGCCATGGGGTTAGGAGGTGGGAGTCAATTGGACTGATTTAGGGGGTGCATACGCACCTACCACACTTGCTGATTAGGGATATTTCGATTTACGATGAAATAAAACGTAGAATTAATACATAATGCCAAGTTAATTTAACTGGGCATGTCTGAATCTTGTATTTTACACTCTCCTGGTTGTCGGCCAAATGTACGTTCCGGGCAGAAAAAAGACGGTACTGAATTAAACATTGGTGTGTCAGTCATTGCATTTGAGACATATCTGCGTATGGACCATAACAAATTGAAATTGATTTATAGTAGAATGTGGAACACATGTGATGACAGTCACAAATGAGTGAATCCGTTCTACATTCTGGTTAAATACATTATCAATCAAAAGCTCTCGATTGTCATGGCTAAAATTTAAGCTTCAATTGTTCTTTTTGCACGAATATCATCACTTTTGCTTGAACATCATCACTAATATATATTTTAGATGAATTTTCTTTGACACTAAGTCATCGGCTGATGTCATCCGATGAAGTGCGCCCTCTGTTGGTTTTTGAGGTCTTCTAATCTACATACCAGACTGGCTGAACGCAAAGCAGACATTACCAATAATACAAGAGGGGTACACACAAGAACAGCTTACACCTCAACATCATCTGTTATCCATAAATCGGCTACAACAAACCACATGGTCAGACATAACCACATACCAAACTGGAACATTACCGAAATACTACAAAAAGAATCACTTAATACTCCAACACACCATCAAAAAGCAATATGGATAAAAAAAAAAGGAGCAACATGAATAGAGATGAAGGAGCCTACAACGACCTTCTACAACAACCAGGGGAACGGGGGGCCCTGCAGAGAAGACCTCAAAAACCAACAAAGGGCGCACGTCATCAGAGGACACCAGCTGATGAAGAAATTATCTAACTGAGGTGGTTAGGTCATTTACATGATGAAGATCAACAAAGTTGGTCAAAACTGTAGTGGTATGATATTTTACTGTTGGCTTAGTATCAAAGAAAATTCATCTAAAATCATCACTTTTTTATACATTCGGTTAATTTATATATTCAGGGTCTCAGCAATTTAATACAAAATGTAGAAACATGAACATAAATGATTATTTGTGAGAAGGCACTACATAGCCAAGTCAATAAATACTTTACCTGCAAACAAGTTGACATCCTTTAGCGGCAACTGGAATGACAACTCCATACCATGTGACCTTATGACCTTTGCATCACTGACCTTTGACACAATAACATCTTTGACAGCATCATGATTGCAATCCATCTCAGTCACCATGCTGCATATGAAAATAAAAAATACTCATTCAAAGAAATGCCCATACAGTATTTTTCAACTTTAATATGATTAACACATTTGCTGCCAGGGACACATGGTCAACCCATAAGACAATAAGAATTTTCTAAAAAAAAAATATAAAAAAATATTGATTTTTAATGAGAATTAGTTAAGAGTTTAATGTCAAAGTAAAATGTATTCATCCATAAAAAAAAAAAGAAATTTCATTGCTCATTACAGTATAAAACACTAAAATTATTTAAAATAGATAAAAAGTTATGAAACAACAAAAATATGGATATCGAAAAACATTAAAAATTTGTTTAAAAAAAGCACATTATTATTATATAAAACTGTTATGTAAAATAAACAAAAATAGAGAAGTTAAAATACAAGTAAAATTTAACCATCAAAAGTTACTTCTCAACGACATAAAAACATCAATTAAAAACTTCCACAGCATTTTAGTGATAATCAGCAATTGTATTTCCTTTTCTATGTGCAACGAAAAAAAAAATAAACAAGAAAATCCAAGAACAGTACGTAAGTAAAACTCTAAATAGAAACAATCAGTGTTAATTTTTTTACACAAAATGTTTTAATTAAATGTATTGCAGCATAAATATGCATTGTAGCAAGCATGCATATTTACATGTATGCACTGCATACATTCTTGTTACGTTTACAAGCATTAGTAATGTTTAGACGTTTCTAAATTTATTGTAAATCTTTTATGGTGTATCTGTCATTACTTTATACATATTAGTTTCAAAGGGACCCGTTATGAAAACAAAATACATTACAGCATACATGCATTAAGTATTGGTTCCAAAATTGTGGGTCGAGGCCCAAAAATGGGCTGCCAATATTTTTCAGGGGGGCAAGAAAATGTCCTTTTACATACAAAAATAATCATATTTATTCTCTCAGTGGAAGAAGATAAAAAATATTGATGACTAAAAATATCTTAATAGTGATTAATAAACTATCAAATATATATAGATTGATTATAAATATTAATCCCATTATTTTGAAAAAAAAAAATACAACTAACACAGTGTGCTTTCAAATAAAAATAATTTTGGAAAACTGCTTCAGGTAGGGGCTGCGATATCTAGGCCGAGTCATTGCTTATCATCATTGTTCCAGTTACACCTGCTCACTTGTTCTGCGCATAGAGACTCTCGTATTTTGCGCAATATAAATGAATAACCTTTAACCTTTGTTTTTAAAGCTCAATCAAAAAGCTTAATGAGTGAACTCTTTTCTGACAAGGTGGGTCACCGTTGTAAGGCTGATACTTAAAGACGGTCCCCAAGAAAAAAGTTTGGGTTTGAAGCACTGAATTAAAGTACATAATGTACATTGCATATACATAAGAGCATATATACATTTCAGGCATTTTAGAATACATGCACTTCAACAAACATATAATAATTGTTATAACATGTGTGCAATCCAGGATGCATGCATATTTCAGCGTATATATTTTAACATTTCAGCATGCCTTTCTGGTAGTGTATTGTTTTTCCAAAGCAAGATTCTGACTAATCCAACGTTACCTCACAGACTACAGGACTTTGCTTCTCCTGATATGTGGGTTTCTTTCAAAACTTTTGATCAAAATGGATAAAAAAAAATCTAATTAGGTTTTGAGTTTTGCTTAAGCAGAAACAAGACTGTGGTTTCTATCCAAGCAATGTTTTACTTATACAATGATGGAATAGTAAACACAGTAAAAGTTTTTGGCAAAAAGTCTGAGGACAAATAGAAAGTATTTCATGTTTATTTCTCATAATTGCACATTTTCATGCCAATTATGGTTTAATCAGTACCTTTGAGATATCAAGCCTGGGTTGAAAATGTTAAGCATCCACACTTACGTAGGTTGGCCTAGATTGACCTAATTCAAATAGTAAAAATCCTTGCGCACAAACATTGTACTGCCAGCTGTGATTGGTTACATTTTGGTCACAGGTTTCTGTGAGACATTCCAATGGTAAATTCTAGGCCAACCCAGGGTCAATGAGGTTCACATTACATATTTCTCAACTTCTGAGTCAAGCACAGGCCTAAAGCTCTAATGTGACGGTCTAGAGAGCAATTTCAAGCTAGACGCGAGTCAATCAATGTCACGGTTCAGACTACAAATTTATCAACTGTACTGACACACACAATACAATGCTTTAAACACAGCTATGCAAAGGAACTATACTATGTACAACGATTGCAAATGAGATCAGTAGGCAGAGTGCAAAAGAGTGCCGGTATATATAGGAACGTCACAATTATTTTATAATTTGCAATACTTTATACAGTCTATATATAATCTATTCGCTGGTGCATAAGGGAATGTGTTATAGCACTATACACAAAATGTTCACAAAGAAAACAAGAAAATTTGAGACGAGACAAGTGATGAAATAACAAGTTGCTGGGGGCAGGTGATTTGATAAATGGTATATCATTTAGTTAAATCATTAACAAAATTCATAATTACCTTAGCTTGTAGCCGATACCAAATCGATTCTTGAGAAAGAGTGATGATCCATAACAACGCAGTTTACCATTGCTTATGATGGCTTTACGATCTGCAAATCATAAATATAGACTTGGTTTTGCATATAATTTTAATAATTTTTTATTTGTATCAGTGGCGAATCTAAGAATCCAAAACAGAGGGGGCCTGAAAGGCAATTTTACAGATGGAGGATTTAGAAATAAAATGTATTCAAACATTTCTGACCCGCTAAAATGTCAGCTTCATCCATGAAATGCGTCGTTAAAAGGATGACCCTTCCCTCTCTCTTGTTTTTCAGCAATGTCCAAATTGACCGTCTTGAGTATGGATCCATACCACTTGTCGGCTCATCCAAGATAACCACCTACATCACAAATTAAAATACTTTTATAAGCATAATTGTAAGTGAATGTCTCATTTGTTCATATTATATAATAACAATATAACAATAATATAATAATAAAATATAATAACATTAACAGTAATATAAATAATAACAATGCTGATAATACAAATAATAGTAACAACAATAGCTCATCCAAGAAAACCACCAAATCACAACTTGAAATATTTTTATAAAGCATAAATAAAAATGAAATTCTAATTTTTTCTGTGTTATATAATAACAATATAACAATAATATAAAAAATACAATAACAAATAATATTAATAACAACAATGCTGATAATAACACAAATAAAAGTGTTAGTAGCATTTTTGATAACACAAATAATAGAAAAATAATGGAAATACAATACTAATAATAATAACTGTGATACAAGTATCTATAAAGCGGTCGTTGGCCGACACGATTCTATGAAGAACGCAACGCGGTGACGCACGTGCAACCGTTTTTAATGACGATCAGATTAGACTGCCACCGACAAGCAGCAGATAGCGTCGAGTCATCTAGCGCACGCAGAGGGAGTGGAGTAGGATTCGTTTCGCGACAGACATACAACTGTTGTATGACACAGTGGTTGCCTGGCTGTAGATACAGATTATTTTACGAGTATTAAAAAGTATAACAAAAACAACTGCAATAAAACGCATGTTACACTAACTAAAAACATAAATTTTAAAGGTAGCTGATAAAAGGAGTTTTACAGCTGCATTATCAAAAGGGGATCCTTAAAGTTCAACAACAAACCAAACAAACCCAATGCACCAACTATTTGCATGACAAGTCAGCATGTTTACATTAAACAAAAGAAAATGATGAATGCATGTATGTAGCTGACCTGACACAATTTCAACACACTTTTTTTTTGTTAAACATTTTTATTATCATTGATGTTGTTGTTAGCCTTATTTCATACCATATCAATCAACTCAAGTACCATAAAAAGCGTTGTATGTTTAACAGTTGGTATTTATATAATATATAAATATCAACTGGAATTTAAATCAATATAGAATACTTCTCATAAGAGTACACCTATTCTTAGTAATCAATAATGACTGAGAATGTTTAGTTAACTTGTACGCATAAATACTTGTAATAATACCTTAGGGTCACCAATAAGTGCGATACCCATACAGAGCTTCCGTTTCTGACCTCCGCTCAATTCTTTCGCATACGTGGCTCCCTGCTTTTCCAGACCAACTTCTTTCAAGATTTTATCAACCTGAAATTTCAAAATATAAAATCTATCAAACTCTAGCGTAGTTAGTATACTAATTCTTTAGTGATAATTTAATTATGATTTATGATTCTCTGAGTTCCTCTTGTTTTGTCAACTCCCTGTGATTTGTCAATAGCTTTTTTACACCAGCTGTCAGTCATGAAGCTGTTGTAATGTCAATATGACTTGGAATTTTAGGACAAGCTAGATGTTATCTTAGTAAGCAAAACAAAAAACAAAAAAAAAAACAAAAAAAAACCACCATAACAGTCCTGGAAAAAATTCTTAATAGTTAAATGAAGTTATTTTACTTTTGCAAAAGAATATAAATGAGGCCTACAAGCAAGAAAACTAAGATTCAGTTATGCAGATTCAGTTATGCATGAACAAACTACTACAAATCCTAAGATTTCCTAAAATAGCTTATCAATTTGATATACTCTTAACTTCAGTATATTTCACTTAACACTTACTACCGATTCTTTGATACGCCATCATCGCTCGCATCACAAACTAACACAATCAAATTAGATTGTGCTAGCTTGTGAAAACAAAAAGAAGTGAGTCAATAAAAGCATGTATTGGTTGTCAAGCACTTCTTTATTCTTTACCACACAAAAAGTCTGTAACGGCAATAGCCGCATATTTTAACACGCTGTTTGCTTTCCCGAATTAACACAATATATTTTCATTGTTTCTTCATGACATGAGCGAGGATATATATAAAATCAAATAAAAAATAGCTACTCTACAGTGGCGTATCTAGGGGTCTTGAAGTGGGGGTACTGATGGGTGCACAAAGGTGAAGTGGGGGGGCCTCGATGATCATTTGAGGGGGCGCTAACTTGCAAAATAAGGTGACTTTAGGTGCTTCTTAAGAACTTAACCATGATTTTTATAGGGGTGTCTGGGAGGGTGCAGGCAATTTTTGGAGGGGCGTGAGCCCCCACGCACCCCTAGATATGCCACTGCTACTGTCAGTGTATATATCATATAACTGCTCTGAGAATGCAATATTTTTACCGTCATCTCAATTTCCTCCTCGGGGATTCCTTTTAAACCAGCAAAAATAGTTAGATGTTCTCTGGGAGACAGGTAGTCAAAGAGTGTGTTCTCTTGTTGGCAGATTCCCGTCATTGTACGGATCTTGTCCATTTGAAATGGGTCTGTGACATCGTAGCCGTAAATTCTAGCCAGTCCGGATGTTGAAGGCATCATGCCAGTTAAACAATTAATGAGCGTTGATTTCCCAGCACCATTGTGGCCGAGTAAACATGTAATCTGCCCTTCATAAATATCCATTGAAATTCCTGAACAAATTTAGAAAATTGTTCATTTAAAGAATCACAAAAGTAACTTCCACAAATTAAAAAAAAAAAAAATCAAATTTCAATTTTTTTATGTGGCTCATTGTTCCTGTGTAACAAGCAGAACAGGTTGCAGTACAGAAGTGATGTTCCCTGTGCATCCCCTAGATATGCCACTGCAAATAAATTTAAACAAGAAAAAAAAAAACCACAATTACGACTTACTTGAAATTCCATACAACATTAGCAGGAGCCACAGCAAGAAAAAATTTCCATTCGGAAAAACTTGAATAGCTTTAGCAAAGCCGATTCCAAATATGGATACGACGCCAATCATTACAGCATACACGATAAACCAAGCGGTCCTACACCTGTCTCTTATACACATCTAGATGTGTATAAGAGACAGCATTACAACAACTGCTACTACCATCCACCATTACCACCATCATCAACACCACTACTACCACCATCAATAACATCAACACCACCATCAACACCATTACTACCACCATCAATACCAACATCACCACAATCAACACCATTACTACAACCATCCAGCCAATTCTCCCTAAGTGATCAGTTTCGGTGACAAATAAAATGCTGATACACTTCTATATTGGTGACAGCACCAGTCACCAATCAACTGATCAGAATCCCCTTATCAGGTTTGGTGATGGCATCATGAATGGTGATGTCACCGGAACTGATACTTATCAGATCTATTAGGTAGAATCGGGTGCAGCATCAATATCAGCATCATAGTCATTAACACCATGACCATCATGAAAACGAACACCACCAACACCAATACCATAACCCTTTACCATTAAAATCACCACCACCACCATCTTTATTATGAACAATACATTTACCCCAAATTAATTTAACGTACCAGGCACAACATTATCAAAGTAAACAGCCAGGGCAAAATACAGGACAATATCCACAGACAGCATGATGAAGTTTGCATACACCGGAAATTCACTTTGACCGAAGCTATTGAAGGTCAGGCCAGCATGTTCAATTTCAAGCAGTACAGCCTGCAGTAAAAATAATATGAAAAAGAAAATAATTAACAAATTTATAAACATTCTAGTAAAATAAATACATCAAATAAATTGGGGAGGGGGGGTGTTGCAGATGGTAACAAAACTACTTTGACATTTACTGTATGATTTATAGTACTATGGCGGTTAATATGGCTTACTACAGACCTCCTATGCTGACAGATATTTCTAACAAAATTTTACAAAATTGTATTTGTTACCAAATGAAATATAAATCTGAAATTTAAAATATGGTGATTTCTTTACTTGAAAATTAATAGGCCCAAATTAATACATCTGTTAAAAAGCTATGGAAAGTGCAGCTTTGCCATGGAACTATAGCGACAAAAGTTGTTTAGAAACAAAGTTGTCTCATGTGGTACCATGACGTAGCGATTAGTCTTCCTCGATCTCTGTTTTCAAGCAAAGCCTTAAATCACACCTTTTCATTTTCTTTTGTCTGTTTTCTAATATTTTCACTTTTGTTGTTAGGAAAGGCTAGACCAGATGCCAACACTATTCGAGCACCTGTGAGCCATGTACCTGCTAACCACTGCATTTTGGTGGTCTCAAATTGCAGAATTGCAGGTGAAGGTGCGATAGTGTTGGTTCCTCTGCGTATATTTTAGCATGGTTAGCTTAGTTCACCTATTAGAATAGATTTTGCTTTTTTGTTTTCTGTACAGTGCATAGAGAGCACATATTATGTGCTATATAAGTAGTGGCGGATCCAGCGGGAGAAGGGGACACAGGGGACAAGTGAAGCCCCCCCCTGCACTAAATAAAACAGGCCTAATGATATGAAATGCGTGTTTGAGAGTATATTAACAATTGTATTTTATCAACCTTACATTTAAAAGTATTTTTCTAGTCTGAGAGTGACATTTCCAGCCATCTAGAGCTCCTTATTAAAAAAAAAAAAAGTCTCATTAGGGGCCGTCTCAGTCAGAAGGCCCTCAGATGACGATGTGCGCTAAAGTTACCCTAATCTCACTCAGTCCCCCCCCACCTTCAGACAACTTAGCCCCCCAGATGTGTATAAGAGACAGCCCAGAAAATACATCTTACAGCTTCCACTGTATAAGTCTCCAACCATTACCATTACCATAAAATACTCTATATAATTGGTCTTGCATTTTACTAAAATAATTTTCTATTTTGCAGTCCTGTGCACATTTTAACATACATTAGCATAAGGTGGACCACAGTGCAATTGACTGTCAAACTTACAGAGTCTAAAGCAAGCGAAACAGCTATTGGTGAGAACAGGCACAATATCCATTTGACCGCTGCCGGTATCCCCGAAATAAGACCGAGAGGAATATAAGCAACAGCCAGGAAAAATGCCAAAAAGGCTCCAAATGCGCCTGCTGTCAATGCTTTGTTGAAGAATGGCGTCAGCATGAAGGCCAAGTTGACGACTGAAAGAAAATACATTAATACTTTTTTAACTTCCTTAATAAGATAAACTTTTAATGAGCTGAGCAGCTAGCTCAGAGGCATTATTCATGTTTCTTGCAAGTTCAAACCTGGCCAGCCTTGGGTTTTAATAGGAGGCTGATCACTTGGTTCAATCATGGTTCAATAGCCTTCATATTGAGAGTTAGGCAGGTTTGGGAAAATGTGTCCGTTATATGTAGTAGTTTAGTTGGGTGGGGCTGCATTGCAGCTGCTGTGGGTCCTAAGGGGCCCAGCCCAAAAATCCAATTTCCAGTTAGAATTAGGACGAATAATGAATTATTATTATTATTAGAATTAGATAATATAAATTAATATTATTAAAAGCATTTTGTTTTTGTTTAATTCACAAATAAAGTTTTTTTTATATTTTATTTTATATTTTGGTAACATAATTCATAACAAACATTTAAATCATTTTTATTATTTGATATTAAAATTTCCATACTGTGCAATTCTTCACATTTTTAGGTGCAATCGACTCTTGAGTTATAGTCCAACTATTGTTGTGTTGGGACTCTTCAACTAGTTATACTTGGTTGAATACATCAATGAAATGAAATTGATTTGGACAGAAAATTGGTAATCAGAGATGGATGTTTGGTATACATTATGCTACATAGCACTGCTTTTATGTGGCTCATTGTTCCTGTGTAACAAGCAGAACAGGTTGCAGTACAGAAGTGATGTTCCCTGTGCATCCCCTAGATATGCCACTGCAAATAAATTTAAACAAGAAAAAAAAAAACCACAATTACGACTTACTTGAAATTCCATACAACATTAGCAGGAGCCACAGCAAGAAAAAATTTCCATTCGGAAAAACTTGAATAGCTTTAGCAAAGCCGATTCCAAATATGGATACGACGCCAATCATTACAGCATACACGATAAACCAAGCGGTCCTACACACAGTAAACATTTTGTTAGAATAGAGACCACTATTCCCCTTCACATTTGCTGCTTATCACACTAACAGTACATTTTTATGATCTTCTACTACAGAAGGTAGGGTGCCATGGACAAGGTGTATACAGGATTGGAGGCCCCGTAAAATGGGGCGACCTGATGGGGAGCGAAGGTGGAGTGGGAGGTTCAATGATTAATTGGGGGGCACAAGTTGCATAAAGATTATATGAGGTGATTTTTAACTATTGGAACATAATTTTTTTGCTTCAGACATTTAAACTGGGGGAAAGCTTTTTGGGAGAAAGTGCACCCCCTACATATACCATTGGCCGTGAAGCATGTAAATGGTAAATTCATCATTATTTTGATGGTATTTGATGCAAGGGAAATGAAGTTACCAATTTATTGTTTAAACACTGATGATTAGGAGGGCTTAGAAAAGACAATAATTTTTTCATACAAGGCAAATGAAACAAAAACTAAAGTGGGATGGGATGAGGAAGTTTTGGCTTATTTAATTATGAATTAAATAAATGAATCTAAAGGGCCTAAATGTTTAAATAGGCTTGGTTCTAAATAAAATTAAAACTATGGCTCTGTCCAGACAAAAACTGTTGTATGCCCATATTTAGTCATGATGTGCCTATATATGGTCATGATGTGCCTATATATGGTTATGATGTACCTATATATGGTCATATGATCTCATCATGACCATATTTAGGCATGTCACATGTTTTGTCAAATTAAATTTGATAGTCTGGAAATGGCTTGAGCCAGTAGGTAGCCAGTTCCTAGATGTGGGAGACGCCACCCATGTGGGAGACCCCACCCTTGCGTCAACATGTCAAGACCTGTTCCAACACTGAAATTCATGCAGTTATCCCGTGCTTAATTATGGTTAAATTTTGATACAGCAAATTTCCATTTTTATTCAGAATCTTTAAAAACTGTTATAACAAATGTCTGCACTTTATTTCTTATCTCACATTATTTTGTTCTTGAAAGTTGCAAAAACCCTCAGGGCTCCCCTCATGCTCCAATGGAGCCCTGCCATATATACACTCTCCCATCGCCATAGTTTCCCGAAAGGCAAAATAAGTTCAAAATAAATTTCACAAACCAAAATGGTCCTGTCCTCATTCCCATCATTTTCAACGACTGAGTTAGTTTCTTCTCCTTCTCTCCGACGATCTTTGAAAGTAAGACGATGACGAATGGAGAATACGCTAACACAAAATAAACAGCGGTGGTGGTCTGCAGAGCCGTTGGTGAGCCAGGGTATTCACCTTTAGGGAACATCTCTGTATAAGCATCAGGAAGTGGTACCTGACTAATTGTATTGTTGGTCTTCATCTACAACAATATAAAAAAAATAAATAAATAGATAAATTAATCATAACACAATTATTAACATTTATCCATTAATTCTTTATTGCCACTGATTAAAATTATCCATATCCAAGCATAACAGCCTGAATTACCTATTATGAACAATAAAAAAAAACCCCATAGAAATAGGATAGCAAAAATACAAATAAAACAACCATTATTACTTGAAATAAATTTAGATGAATATTACTGTGTAACAGTGTAACTATTAAAAAAGTGTGTAAATCTATTTTAATCAATGATAAACTAAATACAATGAATGTAAACTGTACAGTATTATTTAATCATCTTATTAGACAATCACAGAACTAATTAGACTGTATCTGTAACATCTATATCTTCAAATTATTTAATACTATTTTATACTTTCATATATTTTCTGAATGGAATTTCTTAGATATAACAATTATTTTTGAAAACTTACTAAAATAATGGCATGGTCTATGATGACTTGTAGTGCGGAGAAACCAGATCTAAGATAACCCGCTGCAGGGCAGTTATACATTGGCGGCAAGTTATCCTGCGATGTATCCCGACAAGTTCCTGAAGGAAAATCAAATAAATAAATTACAAATACAGAATTTTTTTTTTTTGGCAGACAGTGTACATTTAAATTAATAAAATAATATTAACAATTAATTAAATAATAATATTAATAACACTTGGAAGTACACTTTTACAACAGCAACAAACTTTGTAAATCCAAGGTGTGATGATTAGACAGGATATGAAAAACAACAATAAAACCCAAAACGAAACTTGACACCAACCAAAATAATATTTAACATCCCCTCCCTCTGCCACTACAACCATTTCCTCCCTGTACAGCATGTAACAGATTTAACCCTATCTGTCAGATTTAACACTATCTGTCAGATTTAACCCTATGTGTTAATATTAATAACATTGGAGGTACACTTTTATAACAGAAGCAAACTTTGTATATCCATGGTGTGTCAGTATCTTAAAGACAAACGATTAGACAGGATATGAAAAAGAACAAAACAACCCAAAACAAAATTTGACCATACCCAAAACAATATTTAACATCCCACGAGTCCTCCCCTCCCTCTGTCACTACAACCATTTCCTCACTGTACAGTATATCACTGATTTAACCCACCTCCTATTTATTTAGCTTTGTCCAGACCACCAGTTTATTTCAAACAAAAGACTGCTGCACAGTATACACATAGGCTTGCCATTCAAAAACCAACGTGGTGTCGCTAATTGTTAAACTTGTGTACAGTCAATAGCATGTGGAAATATTGTATACTTTAGTACTGAGAAGCTGTAATACTTTTACTCATAACTTCAGCAATAGTAAGTCGATTCCAGTAAAATGACTCATTATTTTAAAGTTCACAACGTGGAGAATAAGAATTAAAAAGTCAATTTTCATTTTTTGGTCACTGATGACGGTTTCGGTTGACAAGACTCAATAGTCATAACAGTGCGTGCCTATATAGGTCAAACTAAATACTCTCTTTCTTCCTAAACTATAGGCCTACGAACCTCCCTTAAATACAAACTAGTACATCATCAATACACACTTTTAGCATCAATACAGTAATTGCAGAAAAAATAAATATTTATCATATAAACATGGAGATAGTGTATGGCACTACAAATCCACGCCCATTAAATCAACATGACCATTCTCAGACAGACAAACTGGAGAGGCTGACAAGTTATTGGACACACTTTAAGTTGGTGTAGGAGGATATCTGTGGTTATCGGACATACTGTATACATTTACTGTATACTATTATATAATTAATATATTTTATAATGATCATTATGTAACATTTTTATTATACTATATATTTTAATATTATGACATAATTTAAGATCACATAATAAAGGTATATAAGTTTATAATAAATAATATATTACTTTTCTAATAGATTTAACATGATAAAAAAAAGGTCAACAAATTAATTCTCTTACAATACATACAGTATTTTATGGCATGCACTAAAACCTTCCTATAATTCTCACGTACGTACCAGCATTGGTAAATTCGTCACCAGTTGACGGAACTGCGTTTCTGTCCATTCGTATCGTATAACTCAAATCATCGGGAAAACTATCTGTAAACACGATAGCTGGGCCAGTAAGGTTTGAGTTTTCAGACGACTCGGCTTCAAGCAAGAACGTCTCATTCTCATAAACTAAAAATTTCAAATTCAATTTGTTTGAACGTCTAGCTATGTTCAGTAGAGCATCCAGCTCTGTAGAGTTCGGGGCAGCGACTCCGATGGGGTTCTTAAGCGTGTGCGTAAAATATTCGGAAAACAAGTTGAATTGTGGGAATGACGGAATGCCTTCTTCAGTTTCTGGTTTAGTAGAAAAACGAATTGTAGCTAGATTCATAAGTAGCAGCATTGGAAGAAATACTTCCTATGGGAATAAAAACAGAAAGAAAAGTATTAGATGTTTCAGGTTTATGTATACACGTTACAAATTATTTAAAAAAAAACCCGAAAATACACAATGAAATCACAGTGTTGATCTTTCGGGAAAAAAATTAAGAGACATGTTTTGATTTTTTTTTATAAAGATGAGTGAACTGCACAAAAAAAATAGAAAGGTATTGCAATAGGAAATTATCGGTCAAATTTAGCATTATAGATATATACCGAGTTGTGAGTGAAATTTTTTTTATTATTATTGCACTTTTTAGGGCGTAGACGACCAGATCTGTTAGATGTGTATTCATGATGCAAGGGGTGGGTAAGATCCTTATCAATGATGTCTAATTTTTTAAGTACAGATTTGTTATAGATGTCACCAAAACTGTCAACTTTCGATTTAATGACTTTACGGGCCGAATTCGAGATCCTGAGAAGTTTACTGCAGTTTTGTTTACTTGAATTTCCAAACCATAAAATACAGTTGCTAACTAAAACATTTAAAATTATACTTTTAAAAAAAAACTTCAGAACTGACATTTTATTTTCATTTTTTTTCCCTTTTATTATTCATCCTGGGGGATTGTTCAGGGATAAAATCTCTGGTCCTCCGCAAATCCCAGTATTAAATGACTTCAGTTTATGCAAGAAGAATAAATTTGATTAGCTTTTTACATAATTGGATAGTATTAGCATTCAAGGTATAAGTACAGTAGCATCTGCAAAAACGGCAAAAGATTGTAACAGCAACCATGAAAGGTGGAAGCCAATGTGTCAAAAGTGGTGACATGCAGTTAATTTCACTAACTGAATTCAATCGTTTTTCTAGAAATTTTTAAAGTAAGATTTAATTTCTTTTAACTGATTATAATCCCTATGCGGTGAGTGTTATTTTTTGTGGGGATTGTCAGAAATGTGTTATTGAATAGTATTTGGCGCAGCTGGAAGGGTTTGGTTTCCTAACCTTTGATGTTGGGGGTGTTGCTGTGCATTTCGCTTATCTTTATTGCTTCTCTCACCACAGGAGTATAAATGGGTACCTGGTGGGGTTGCATGCTACTGTGCCAATATGGCAGCAACACTTAAGCATGTGGACCCAATGACCAGGGGAAAACTTACAGCGATTTGTAACTGAAAGGAAAAGCACTATACAAGCAACAAGAAACAAGTATTTAGTTATTTGTGCTCCTTCATATGAGGGTGCAATTAAATGATTTGATTTACAGTATAGTGTAAAATTTTATGATATCATAAAAATGAAATTACTTCCACAGACGCCAATCACAAATCTATGACTGAAACCAATTATGTTGACTTTACTACAGATCAGAGTGTTCTATATTGAGTACAATCTGATCAGTTGTTGTGTTGTGTTGTTTGCTCTGCCACACTAGAATATAACAACTAGATTAGACCAAATATTTATTTATATTAGGAGGACTGAGTATAGACTGACAATAGATAAGGGGGGGAAGGGGCCTTGAATACACCACGGGATACACCACTGCTCAAAACATTGTTTATCCAAAATAGTCATAATCACAAAAAATGGGCATTTAAAACCAGATCACATCCTAAAAACAAATTTATGCATTCTCGCCTCATCAGCAGTCCTGAGTCAGGTGTCGACTCAATGGAGTTTAATGTCATACCCAGGAAGGCTGCAATCTGTTTTGAAAGGTGGAGGTGGGGGTTGGGGGTCATTTCGCGAGTCAACATCCACCTCAGGCCCACCATGGTTGGGGCTGAGGTGCAAAAATTTAAGGAAATAGTACCTCTAGATGAACAGAACATGACATTTTTAGTAAAATTCATCATCATCACATCGCCATTATATACTCAAAATGAAGTGCCAACACATTTTTCATGATCATTTACAGGGATTTTCGGCAACCATAGAGATCTTTATTAATATGTGTGATGTACCATAGAAAATAAAGTTTAAAAACATTGTTTTTGAGTGCTGTATGTACTTTACATACTTCAAAGGCGTGATTTCACAACTACCTCAGCCCCACCTTCGTTGTTTGAGGAAACAGTACCTGTAGATGGCCGGAAACGACACTTTTATATAGTAAAATTCACCATCAACAAATTTCTCATGATCTTTTATAACAGATCTACTTAATATCCAAGACAGCTTAGGCCTAACTATAGCTTACTAAGCTTAAACTATACTATAGTAATTGTGATCAACAAATCACAACTTACTTTTTCGCCTTTAACACAATTTTCTTCACTTTTTAATATTATTAATATCATTATCTGTTATCAACATCGTCATCATCATAATTATTATTATTATTATTATTATTACTACTAGTTGTACTGTAGCATTAAAACGAAACTTTATAGAGCTTGCAAAAGGATAAAAACCAAACTGAACCATATAGTACAATATCACATTTCTGTATCTGAAAGACCTGGCCTGGGATTTATGTCCCTTGATGGCAAGAAATGGGAACATTTATAAGGGTTCTTTGTGGGTCAGCCCAGGTTTTAACGAAAGTGTGCTGCACAACCGGTACTCTACAGTATCTCTGCTCACAAACATCTGCATTACTTGTAATACATCATGCATTCCTTTATTATAATTTAAGAAGTATGAGATAAGCATGTATTATTAATAAGATTGGTTTTCGGCACATGGTAAAGTAAATTAAAAATATTTCAATGACAAATGAATTTTATTTTCAATGGAACATCACAGCGATTAATTTGATCGATGATGATGATGAATTTTATTATAACAGAGTGTAATTTCCGGAAATCTACAGGTACTATTTCCTCAAACGTTCCCACCTCAGCCCTTGTGTGGACTAATGGCTTCGAAGTAGGTAGGCCTAAATTAAGTAAATTAAAGACAATGTTTTTAATATTTATTTTCTATAGTACATCACACATATTAATTAGATATCTATGGTTGCTGAAAATTATGAGAAATATTTGTTGACGCTTCATTTTTACTATATAATAGTGATGCGATGACAATGAATTTTACTATATAAAAGTGTCATTTCCTGTCACCTAGAGCTACTATTTCCTAAAAAATTCCCCCCACGGTTGGGCCACACCCCTTCCCCACTTGGTGCTTCGCAAATCGCATTATCCACCCCCCATTGCTAAATCCTAGATCCACCAATGATTGGAGTAATTCGTCTGACTCCCCAAACTGTAGCCTTGCCCCTATAGTTTAGCTTTTGGTAAATTAGGCCGTGTTCTCACTTAAGTCCATGCTAAATAATGAAACAATGGGTTGATGGGTAAACCTATTTTTGGCGACAGTTACTGTATGTAGGCCTAGGGCTTAATCAATAATATTAATAATTTTTGCCTTTTTCCAAAGATGTTGGTAAAGTGATGTTTGTTTGTAGCCTTATTGTGGCAGTTGCCTGACTTTCAAAGGTGAATAAAATGTTTTGTTTATGAATCATACTCCAAATAGACACACTGCCCTGTATTTACTACCATGATGGAGGTTATAATTAATAAAATATAATGTGTATGTAATGCATACATTCTTTATAATTTAATTTTTATTGACATAAGCATCAGTTGGAGTAGAATAAGAACAATAATTTGCAATGCAAATACAATTCATTTATAATATGAAATCAGCAAAAATGTAATCAAAACAACAATAGTTAAATATGTTCCCAATATCCTTTTATTATGTAATGTTAATGACCAAATATTCTTTTTTTTTTTTATTGAGCTTTCTATAAATGATCAAATAATTTCATACGGTTTGAAATAGTATAAAGTGATTAATATGTATGTATACAATGCGTATGTGAAATGTACTGAAAAGGTAAACAAAGACTGGTTTACTTACAAAACACAACACTCATATTAGAGCTTTCTATAAGATGACATATAGCATGAATAGAGTAACATGTTTTGATATTTATTAGAATCCTATATGAAATACACAAAAAACAAAGAAAAAGAAATCCCAATTGTAAAGGGTCAAAATTGATTTACGAAGTAACACATGCAGTAGGCCTACTGATTAAAGTGCTGTAGATGTTGTGATACAATGAATAAAAAAAACCCCTTAATAGGGGTTGTTTGCCCATTTGGCACACTCAGGAAGTGTCCACATCCCTTTAATAGGGGTTGGCTGTAGTGTTTAAAGATAAACTGTCAATCGTTTCACGGAAAAGTGTCCACTTAATAGGGTTGACCTCTGAATAGGGGTGTCCCAAATGAGGGGTTCTATGTATTCATAAAAATATATATCACTTTATAATAGGTATAGATTCTAATAAAAAATAATTAATAGGCCTAATAATGCGGATAATAATATAACAGTAATAGTACAGTAGTAATAAAAATCTTTAATATTATTAATAATAATGATACTAATAATATAAAAATAAAAAAAGAATTAATAATAATAATTAATAATAATAATAAAATATGATATATAATAGTAATATAAAATAATTGTGGTATCATTTAAGTAATTCTGTATCATTTAGTAATTATTGGCAGTGGCGGATCTAGTGGGTGAATAGAGTGGCTAGCCACCCCTCTTTGGTGACCTCGAAAAAAAATATATAGTCACTCGTAATGTGTGTGTGCTTCTCATGTATACATGTTACATGTAGGCTACTCTTGTAAAACATACACTTTCTATTTTATTTTATTTATTTTTTATTTATTTTATTCAATCGTCCAACAGGACCAAGAAGGTCCCACTTACAAGCGAAGATTGTAGTAAAATATTTCTATGTACAATATAAAAATATAAAATATTTAAAATTCATCAAATTATTAAGACATTGTAGAGTTAAATATTACATCGATTAAACAGATAAAAATTACGTAAGATAATTATTTAAATGACATTTAAATACATATAAAGAATTAGAAAATATATCAACATCAGGACATTTGGCAACAAAATCATTATATAAGCCAGACAGACAAAATAGCTGGTAAAACATCATGAGACATTTGTTGGCTTTTCATTTTTACTACATAATGGTGATGTGATGACGATGAATTTTACTATATAAAAGTGTCATTTCCGGTCATCTAGAGCTAGATCTCCTAAAGTTTTCGCACCTCAGGCCCAACTATTATGGGCCTGAGGTGAGTGTGGGCTCACGAAATGTCCCCCTCACCTTTCGAAACAGATCTGCGCCCTTGTCAACCCCGCCGCTTCGCAAATCGCCTTACCATTGCTAAATCCTAGATCCGCCACTGTAGTCGCAGTGGTAGTAGTAGCGGTAATAGCCGGTGTTGGTGATTTTTTACTGTTATTTTTTTAAAACTATGACTTGATGGTAGTATTACCTTGACGGTCCAATTCTTTCACCTCTGCAACAGTCGTCTTTTCTGCAATAGTGCCCTGACCAACAACTCTGAAGTGGTACCCATGTAAGTGAAAATGGTGGCTGGAAGCGTTCAATTGTGCTTCATTCACTAAGATTATTTCTACATCCTAGATGGACATTAAATATATATTGTCATGGTAAAATTTAAAAACTCAAAAAAAAAAATCAACAAAATATTAAATTACTCAATTATCAACTTCCAATGATACTGTTGGTGATTTGCAGTCTTTCTAAAGAAAGCTTTCGATAAAGCAACAATAACATAACAATACGTTAAACAGATTTACTTGTCTCACACTGTCACCCGCTTTTTATAACAACGTAGATTCTGTCTCTTATACACATCTAGATGTGTATAAGAGACAACTCTTGTGCTCGTGCCTTTATTATAATTTGAGAAGTATGAAAAAAAACCTGTGTAATATAATAATAAGATTGGTTTTCAGCAAATGGTAAAGTAAATTAAAAATACATCAATGGCAAATGAGTTTTATTTTCAATGGAACATCACAGTGATTACTTTGATCGATGATGATGAATTATTTTCAATGGAACATCACAGCGATTAATTTGATCGATGATGATGAATTTTATTATAACAGGGTGTCATTTCCGGAAATCTAGAGGTACTATTTCCCAAAATGTTCCAACTTCAGCCCTTGTGTGGACTAATGGCTTCAAAGTAGGTAGGCCTAAATTAAGTCTGTCTCTTATACACATCTAATCCTAGATCCACCACTGATTGGAGTAATTCGTCTGACTCCCCAAACTGTAGCCTTGCCCCTATAGTTTAGCTATTGGTAAATTAGGCCGTGTTCTCACTTAAGTCCATGCTAAATAATGAAACAATGGGTTGATGGGTAAACCTATTTTTACCGACAGTTACTGTATGTAGGCCTAGGGCTTAATCAATAATATTAATAATTTTTGCCTTTTTCCGAAGATGTTGGTAAAGTGATGTTTGTTTGTAGCCTTATTGTGGCAGTTGCCTGACTTTCAAAGGTGAATAAAATGTTTTGTTTTAGTTTTAAGTTTAGGGGCCTAGTGTACTGTAGGTTCTGATTATGAATCATACTCCAAATAGACACACTGCCCTGTATTTACTACCATGATGGAGGTTATAATTAATAAAATATAATGTGTATGTAATGCATACATTCTTTATAATTTAATTTTTATTGACATAAGAATCAGTTGGAGTAGAATAAGAACTTATAGCAATAATTTGCAATACAAATACAATTCATTTATAATATGAAATTAGCAGAAATGTAATCAAAACAACAATAGTTAAATATGTTCCCAATATCCTTTTATTATGTAATGTTAATGACCAAATATTCTTTTTTTTTTTTATTGAGCTTTCTATAAATGATCAAATAATTTCATACGGTTTGAAATAGTATAAGGTGATTAATATGTATGTATACAATGTGTATGTGAAATGTACTGAAAAGGTAAACAAAGACTGGTTTACTTTACAAATAACAACACTCACATTAGAGATTTCTATAAGATTATATATAGCATGAATAGAGTAATATGTTTTGATATAATAAAATCCTATATGAAATACACAAAAAACACAGAAAAAGAAATCCCAATTGTAAAGGGTCAAAATTGATTTACGAAGTAACACATGCAGTAGGCCTACTGATTAGAGTGCTGTAGATGTTGCGATACAATGAATAAAAAAAACCCTTAATAGGGGTTGTTTGCCCATTTGGCACACTCAGGAAGTGTCCCCATCCCCTTAATAGGGGTTGGCTGTAGTGTTTAAAGATAAACTGTCAATCGTTTCACGAAAAAGTGTCCACTTAATAGGGTTGACTTCTGAATAGGGGTGTCCCAAAGGAGGGGTTCTACTGTATTCATAAAAATATACATCACTTTATAATAGGTATAGATTCTAATAAAAAATAATTAATAGGCCTAATAATGCGGATAATAATAATAACAGTAATAGTACAGTAGTAATAAAAATCTTTAATATTATTAATAATAATGATACTAATAATATAAAAATAAAAATAGATATAATAAGAATTAATAATAATAATTAATAATAATAATAAAATAATTGTGGTATCATTTACGTAATTCTGTATCATTTAGTAATTATTGGCAGTGGCGGATCTAGTGGGTGAATAGAGTGTCTAGCCACCCCTCTTTGGTGACCTCGAAAAAAAATATATAGTCACTCGTAATGTGTGTGTGCTTCTCATGTATACATGTTACATGTAGGCTACTCTTGTAAAACATACACTTTCTATTTTAAGCTTAACTTCTTTTCAGATGTCATCTAAGAGCGTCTATACATGAACTAATTCCAAAAAATCTCAAATGGAACGGGATGCCTCTCCCTAAACCCATGATCAAGGAGGGACATGTCCCAAAATATTGTTTTAAGGGCGTGGGGGTTGGTCCCTTACTTTTCGTCCGCAATGTAATAATATCATAAGAAAAGAAGATGCCTGAAAATTATTGAAATAAACTGCATAAATGACCCAGGTTTTAACGAAAGTGTGCTGTACAACTGGTACTTAATCTCTGCCCACAAACATCTGAATTACTTATAATACACTACTCTTGTGCTCGTGCCTTTATTATAATTTGAGAAGTATGAAAAAAAACCTGTGTAATATAATAATAAGATTGGTTTTCAGCAAATGGTAAAGTAAATTAAAAATACATCAATGGCAAATGAGTTTTATTTTCAATGGAACATCACAGTGATTAATTTGATCGATGATGATGAATTATTTTCAATGGAACATCACAGCGATTAATTTGATCGATGATGATGAATTTTATTATAACAGGGTGTCATTTCCGGTAATCTAGAGGTACTATTTCCCAAAATGTTCCAACCTCAGCCCTTGTGTGGACTAATGGCTTCAAAGTAGGTAGGCCTAAATTAAGTACATCAAAGACAATGTTTTTAATATTTATTTTCTATAGTACATCGCACATATTAATTAGATATCTATGGTTGCCGAAAATCATGAGAAATTTCTTGACGCTTTATTTTTACTATATAATGATGATGTGATGACGATGAATTTTACTATATAAAAGTGTCATTTCCAGATATCTAGATCTACATATTTCCTAAAATTTGTTGGGGCTGAGGTGAAAAATTTGAGGAAATACTACCTGCAATGGCCTTTTATCAGGGATCTACTTAATATCCAAGACAACTTAGGCCTAACTATAGCTTACTAAGCTTAAACTACAGTATACTATAATAATTGTGATCAACAAATCACAACTTACTTTTTAGCACAATTTTCTTAACTTTTTAATATTATTAACATCATTATCTGTTATCACCATCGTCATCATCATAATTATTATTATTATTATTACTACTAGTAGTACTGTATTATTAAAACAAAACATTATATATAGAGCTTGCAAAAGGATAAAAACCAAACTGAACAATACAGTACAATATCACATTTCTGTATCTGAAAGACCTGGCCTGGAATTTATGGATTTAAGATTTAAAAAAATCATGTTTAGGCCTATGTGATAACGTGCTGATTCATATTTACATAGATTTAGTAGTATTCATTTTGAGTGTTGTTTAAAAAATCATAACATGATGTCAAAAAATCCGCCCAAAAGCTTATCTTATTTCTGTTGGTTACGCACCGCTGATTCGCACATCACTTCAAGATGTCTACCGATTCATGAAAAAGGCCTTATGCGAGCCTTATATGTGTCAAGAGAGAAAAAACAACACTTTTCTAATTCTTTACCTGAAATAGTTCCCGCTTGTTTCTCCACTTCATTAAAACATTTCGGCGTATAAGGTAGCCAGTTTGGGTCCAAAACCCGGTCATTCTTAATACTGACCCCAAAGGCACCAGAGAACCACCGAAAACCAAACACACAAAGTTTCTTCACACCTCTCCGATCCGATTTGTAGGATTGTGTTTACCTGTATGACGTCCACTCTAGTCTCTAAGCCCTCTATAGTCAAATGACCGGCGTACTATCAATCATGCATATTTATAAGGAAAGAAGGCAATGGAAAATGTTCGTCATCCGAAGTGTTATCACGGGATCACATTATAAATAGTGTAGTCAGTTGATTATTAATCATCATCCCGTTGGGCACCGCGTTTTTTTTCTTTTGCGCCCACAGAATCAATAAAAGTGGTTAATTTATGGCTTTTAATGCTTCATTCAGAATCATTTGTATTTACATAAGGAAATCATTGGAAAATGTTCGTCATCAGGTGTATATAAAAAAAGTATGTCAGTGGTTGCCAAGTAGAATAGGACAAATTTATTATTAGGCCAAAAAATTAATTGTTGGTTTCACGTCCGGGTTTGACATTATTTTTGGTAATGGCATTTACTATTTGCTTTTTTTTATCCTATATACTAATGGTAAACAGGCTGGTAAATATTAAAAATAAGTTCTTTAAGATAGTATTATTTTTATAACGTGTAAAATTTGCCAATGTTTTTGTCAAATTTGGCACTAAAATCTAAAATTAAGCCTGGAAACAGCCCATTCCATGTGAGCTAAGGCTTGGTGATGAGAATTCACCAGTTTTTGATAGAAGTATGAGACAACATTTTCACAAATATGACGTGTTATTTAATTTAATCAAAAAAAGCCTAAAAAATGTTTTCTGGTGTCATCATCACATCATTTGATAGATACTTTTTATAGCTGTCGTATAGTACCAAATATATTCAGATTGAATCTTTTAGTACTAGCTTCAATATACCATTTTGGGGTAAAAAAAGTGTAAAATTTGACATTTTGGCGAGAGATGAACTTTGACATACTATAACTCTGAAATACAAAATGGATATTGTCTGAAAATGGATGTTTTGTATATGGTCAGTTTTTGAGAAAGTATCATACGAAAATGTTGTTAGCTTAGTATTATTTTCGTAATTATTTAGTAAAACATGTAGTATTAAATTTTGGTAAATAAAGTCATAAAAATGTTTTTTTGGCAATTTTTTGGTCACAAAATTATTATTATAATGTGTCATCATAAACATCATTCGATAGATATTTTTAATAGCTTTTGTAGGATACCAAACATATTGCAATTTATTTTTCAGTTTAAAATTCAGCATGACAACAGCCCATTCCGTGTGAGCCATGGCCTGGTGATAAGAATTCACCAGTTTTCGAGAAAGTATCAGATAAAAGTTTTTTAGCTTAGTATTTCTTGTATCAAATTTCTCATGTATTTATAAATTTATCAAAAAAAGTCATAAAAGTAAGTTTTTTGGTACTTTTGGGTCACAACATTAAGATAATGTGTTATCATACACTTCATTAGATAGATAATTTTAATAGCTTTCGCATGATACCAAATATTCAAATCAAATCTTTTGGTAACATACTAGCTTAAAAATACCCTTTTGGGGTAAAAAAATGTAAAAAATTTGCAATTTTTGGGGGAGGTAACCTTTGAGAGATGAATCAGAAATACAAAATGAAAAATATCTGAATTTTCATAGGTGTATTATTTTGTATGTGGTCAGTTTTTAAAAAAAGTATCAGACGAAAAGGTTATTAGTTTAATGTATTTTGTATTTATTTAATAAAACATGTATTATTAAATTAATCAAGGAACTCACAAAATGTGTTTCTTTTTGTAAATTTTTGGTCACAAAATTAATATAATGTGTCATCATACACATCATTTGATATGATAATTTTACTAGCTTTCGTATGATACCAATTATTCAAATTGAATCTTCCAATAATGGACTAGCTTCAAAATACGATTAATGATAAGGATTGCCCTTGTGTAAAATAATACATTTCCTATCATTTGGTATAAAGAGAAATGTAATTACATCATTAATTATGTCACATGAGGTCAAAAGGTCATCAACCAAAGATCAACATTGAATTTCACCCAAAATATATATTAAAACTTGTGATAATAGTTTTTCTATCACGTTAAAACTGAATTAACATGGATAAAAGTTAGCTGAAGTAAATTATAAATTAAAATACATGCATAGATGATATTGTAACATCTTAGCTCCAGTAAATGCTAAGTTATGGCTCCGAAAATATGTGATTGTGTCTATATTATGCATTCACCATTGGATTTTGATAAGAATGAAAAATATCTTAACGTACTAGCTTTAAAATAGCAGTTATGATGCTGAAAACTGGTGATGTACCTTAGAGGTGGCTGTTTTATTATTATAAATTATTAGGTAAATATATTTACAATTGTGATACCTAATTAACTAGTAAATATGAAATAATGGAGTACTGCCATAGGTGTGTCCATGCATGTCATGCATTAAGATTGATATAGGATAAATATATACGAAGTTGTTATTATTTATATATGTTATTTCTAATGATTTATAGTGCTTGCATATAGCTAATTTATAAACTTAATTTGTATATACATACTCTATAATAGATTTTGTAATAAATATAATCTGACTATTACATAATTAGAATAGCTAAAGTGTAAGTGGATACAGTGTTTACAGCAGTATCTTATTATAGCCTTCAAATGTTTTTCTCGAGCATAAAATGGACAAACCCATATTTCATTAGTTCATATTTTCTAGTTAATTATGTACCACAATTGTGAAAATATATTTATCTAAAATTCTATCTACTGTATACATGTATTTCACTATGTGTTTTAACTTA